GGGGGGAGGAGATCATCAGCGGCGCGCAGCGCATACACGACCCAGACCTGCTCGTCGGTGGGCGGCAGGACGCGCGCACAGCCGCGCCCCGTCCGGCCCCGCACACTGCCGCGCGAGGGCCTGCTTGCTCGCCTGCGCGCTCGCGCGTCTGCTGAGTCGTGCGGTGCAGTGCGTGCGGCGCCGTGCGTGCCCCGGCGGCGGCGCATGCGTGTCTCAACTGCCCCCTATCATCGCCCCTCCCTACCCCGACCTCCCGCCCAACCACCCCCACCACACCGCAGCGCGCGCCACCGAGTGTGGTGTGGATGTTGAGAGCATCAAGGCCTACGTCGACTCGTTCAGGTGCGGCCGCCACCCGGGATACGCGCCCTCCAGCTGGCGCCTGCAGGGCGGACGGCGCCACCCATCCCGCCAAGAAGCTAACCAGCCAACCAGCCACCAGCCAACCAGCCGACCAGCCGACCCCGCCAACCAGGGCAGCACAGCAGCGTGTGTTCTCCCAATCCCCTCAGGGGGCAGAACCTGCATGCGACACAAGTGCATTGACAGCTCATTTCAAGTGTGCCTGACGCGCGTCTGGTGTTTTGAGTCCCGGGGGCATCACTCAGGTCACGCCTCTGCTGCGGCAACCCGCGACCCTCTGCAGGGTGGGCGCACCCCCACACGGCGGCTGCGGCGTCGGCCTGGAGCGCGTGGTGAGCAGCCAGGGCCCCTCGGCAGCCTGGGGCATGCCGGGGCCGGCAGCCAGTTGCTGCTGTGCGTCCATTCACCCAAAGGACCCGTCACACTAACAAACAAATGCCTCTGGCTGCAGCAGCTAGCCGTGCGTCGCCACCGGTTGCCAGTCGCGGAGGCGCCGCCAGCCGCCCGTTGCGGCGTTGAGCAGCACCTGCGCCGCCCGTCACCCCCCTTCCACGCCCGCACTCAGCCTCGTTGCACTGCCAGTTGTCGCAGTCACTACAATATCATCCGTCCTGCTTTGCGTACCCGCCCGATCACTGCACCGCCCCATCACTGCACCGTCCCATCAATGCGCGGCCCCGTCGCTGCGCGACCCCGTCACCCACTCCCCGGCACCCGCAGGTTATGCTCTACTGCGGCCTCAACAACATCCGAAAGACGGCCATGTTCCCCCGCGACCCCAAGCGCCTCGAGCCCTAGGCTCCCGCATCATGAGGGGGCGCACAGCTGCGCGGCGAACCTCAAAATGCAGCACCGGCCCCGGCGCCAGTCGCGCTTGCATGGTAAACTCTGACAAGCGGCGGCTTCAGCGGGGTCGCCGCGGTCGCAGCTCGTCTCGTCTTTGTGTTTCCTTCTAGTGTCTGCGTTTGCTGCGGTGGGCGCCAAGGCTGGTGCTGTCTCTTTCCCGGCCGTGTGGAGAAAGCTACCTTTTTTTGTATTGGCGCACTATGTGCGGCCATGCATCTGTTTCGCACGATTATGCCCAGCCGTGGCAGAGCTTTTGGCAGGCAATTGCACTTGCAGGTTTGTGAGAGGCTCGTAGTTTTCTGAGGGCAGGTATATGATTGCATCACACTGTAATGCTAATCATGAGGTGTAGAATGTGAATCAGCGGGTGAGCTGTTGACATCAATGAGGAAGGATGCACATGTCCATGTTGAGTCGTGGCATGCTCAAGAGGCTTGTGGGCATGTCTGCGCCATGCACGCTTGAGCGTACTGGCGACCAGCAGCAGCAGCAGCAGCAGCAGCAACAACAGCAGCAGCAGCAGCAGCAGCAGCAGCAGCAGCAGCAGCAGCAGCAGCAGCAGCAGCCGCAGCACCAGCAGCGGCAGCCGCAGCCGCAGCAGCGGCAGCAGCAGCCGCAGCAGCGGCAGCAGCAGCAGCGGCAGCAGCAGCAGCAGCAGCAGCAGCAGCAGCAATTGATGCCGTTGACACGCTGTACGTGCGGTGCACACGGCTCGCTTCTCCTTCACCGTGGCACCTCGGGATGCCCAAAGTGCAACCTGCGAGGTCCTGGGTCTGATTTGTTGCTGGGGCCATCAGGTGTGTGTTGCTGCGGCGGCTGGTGCTTTCAGGTTTCAGCCTGGTTGCTCCTCCCATGCTCCTGCTGCAGCGGGGTTGGAATCTTGATGCGCACTTATCCTGAATCCTGGTAGTGCAAGAGCATGCTGGAACGGTGCACTGAGACCAAGGGAAGTGGTCTGAGAGACCTCAAGTGTGGGCATAATGGCACCATTGAGATACCACGCTCACTCTTTCAAGTCGGCTCAATCTTGGAGGATTCATCAGTGCATGGCCGTCAAAGCAAAGACTTTTGAGGTTTGGTGTGGGCTTTGGATCCTGGTTTGCTTGGCCCGTAGGGCACCAGCAGGTTTGTACTGTGTGGCAGAAACGGCGTGCGTGGGGACGAAGCCACGCAACCGATTTTCACCGAGATTTTATACCACGCTAACAAGATATTGGTTGCATCGAGCACAGAACCACCGACGCAAACTGTATCATATGACCGAATTTATGCCCCTGTTGCGAGAATCCGTGCATCTGTCACAGTGTGCGTGCTGACTTTCAAAGTTGGTGTGCGGCGTGCGTGCTGTGCAGCTGCTGCTGGCACCTGTTGGCTCCCTGCGGGCGCCACCCAGGCTCATTGTATGTACAAAGCACGTTGCGATCATGTCGTAGCTTCGGCGCGCGGGCAATTTTTCTTTCTTGATGGCCACGCGGACATGAGAGCCCGTCCCGTGCGAAGCAGGCAGGGTGGCATGCATCGGGGGCTGCTTTCAAGCTCCCACATCCAGGTGAGATGAGCTGCCGATGAAGGCGCTGTCACATGAGACTGTGATCTGCAAACAAACAGGACGCTCCATCTCCTGGGCATTTTCTTCAGGCCGTCGGACGGAGATATGCTGATAGGACTTTCAGGATTCGATACGTGGCCAGTGGCGGGACATGCAGCCGCTCTCTTTCGTTCGCTGCCTCGGCGTGCGGTGACGACGGTGCTGAGGTGCGTGAACGACAGCCGCTGTGAGGCGCATGGCCTGGCGCCTGCATGGCATGCGCATCATCTGTGACGGATGGCGTGTGGCGGCTGTTGCCAAAGGGATCACTCCTGCACACAGACCTCCTATCCAAGGGGTTGCGGGGCAGCCGAGGTGCACCAGCAGTGCCCTGCACACGACGTCAACCCATGCGCTTGTGGGGCCGTGTCCCGTGCCGTGCAGAATGTCACCTGTGATGCTGAGGAAGTTGTCAGCGCCACGTCGGTGGCATTGCCAGGTGTCGCAGCAAGCAGCGCAGGCGCGAAACAAGTGTCGCGCTTTGGCGATGCGGCCAACGGCGCAGGGCAGCCGCCAGGCCCGCCAGCCGCCGCCCAACAGCAGCAACGGCAGCAGCAACAACACCAGCAGCCGCAGCCAAGGCGAGCATGGGGGAGCCTGCCGTTCGGCGCCCGTGGGCGCACGCCCCTGGCGCAGGTCCTCATGGCAGGCTCGCATCTGGCTGCAGCGCGCCAGCGGAAACACAGCGCGCTGCAAGCAGCGAGCGACCCCATGCAGCGCGTGGCGGGCATTGAAGCAGCCATCACTGAGGGCGGCGACTCGTGGACCAGCCTCGTCGCAAGGGGGTTGCTGATCTCGCCGTCGGAGACCGCAGCAGCTGGCGCCCTACTGGTGGACGAGGGGCCCGAGCAGCAGCAGCAGCAGCAGCAGCAGCAGCAGCAGCCACAGCAGCAGGAGCAACCCCTGCAGCAGCAGCAGCAGCAGCAGCCACAGCAGTCGGCAGATGCGCGGCGTCCGGGCGGCGCAGCACAAAGCGAGCGCGGTGCGACGCCTTTGGCGCCAGCCAGGACGAGGACAGCTAGCGCCCTGTCAGTGTCGGCCACTGCACTCGAGCAGGACACCACGACCTTGGCGCCTGCATGGGCCGCCTCAGGCGTTGCGGGCGGCCCGCACATCGGAGCGGCTGGGCCTGGCGCGGCCAGTGATGGCGGGGTGTGGCCAATGCCGCCGACGCCGACGCCGCAGCCGCAGCAGCAGCCGCAGCAGCAGCCGCAGCAGCAGCAGCCGCAGCAGCAGCAGCGGGCGGTGGCGCCCTGGGATTTGCATGCGGTCCGCGATCAATTGGGCTGGGAGGCGGCGCACGGGGCCCTGCGGACCGGCGGCGCAGCAGCCGGCGCGGGCGCCGGCTTTTGGCCCGCAAGCGCCACCAAGCCAGCGCGGGACAGCGCCCGTGCGGCGCCCACTGTTCAGCCTGGGCTTTCCAGCAGCGCCTGGCCCGGGGGACAGGGCCTCGCGGGCTGGCAGCAGCAGCAGCAGCAGCAGCAGCAGCAGCAGCAGCAGCAGCAGCAGCAGCAGCAGCAGCAGCAGCAGCAGCAGCAGCATCACCACCATTATCACCACCACCACCACCATCAGCAGCAGCCGCAGTGGCCGCACCAGCAGTGGCCGCAGCCACAAGGGCAGCCTCCGCATGCGTCGCAGCAGCCAGAGCAGCACCTCCGCAGCCCTGCGACCAGGAAGCCCATGGCGGCACCACGTGGGGTGTATTCACCATTTTTGGCGCCACCACCACCTCCGAAGCCGCAGCTGCAAGAGCAGCGGCAGTGGCGGCAGCAGCAGCCCCAGCCGTACCGGCAGGCGCAGCCCTGGCCACCGGCGGCGGCGCCGCAGCAGCAACATCAGCAGTTGCAGAGGCAGCAGTGGCGGCGGCGGCAGCAGCAGCAGCAGCAGCAGCAGCAGCAGCAGCAGCCGGTCCAGGTGGCCGCCGTGCCCCCACAGCATCCCCTGCAGCCCCTGTCCACACCACAGCACGCGCCAGCCGCCTTGGAGCCGCGGGGCGCTGCGCCGGCGGCGGCGGCGGCGGCGCGACAGCAGCAGCAGCAGCAGCAGCAGCAGCAGCAGCAGCAGCAGCAGCAGCAGCAGCAGCAGCAGCAGCAGCAGCAGCAGCGGCATGCTGGCCCGGCGGCCGTTGAGGAGTGCGTTGCGCGGTTGAGAAACGTCTGCCCCGACATTGAGCAGCACGCCGCGCTGCATCTCTTGCTGACACCCCCCTACAGGGCGGCGGCGCACGCCTGGGTGGAGGGGGTTGACGCGATGCAGCAGCTGCAGGAGCAACTGCGGCAGGGGACGCAGGCGGGGCCGCTCAAGGCGTTCTTTTTCGACCTCGAAACCAACGGCCGTGGTGAGCCCGGCGTGGTCGGGCCCGGCCCAGCGGGCCAAGCCGGCGCGGCGACGGCTTCTCATCGCGGGGCCAGCTGCGGCCAGCCTCACACCTCCCGAGGGGAGCGGTTTTCCTAGGCTAGCACGCATTGCTGTGGCTGTGGGGCACTGGCCTGGCGTTTGTCCTCGCACACGCGTGCTTGCCTCTCCCTCCCGCACCCCTGCTCGCCCACCACGTTGCGCTTCCCTTACGCACCAACCCACTTGCCTTCTGCCCTCTTCCCCTCCATCTTGCCCCCACCCTATTACATATGCTCTCCCTTCCCCCCATCCCCCACCCACCCAT